GCGGCTCCCTGGGCCAGGACGATGGCCTCCCACGGGTGTTTGCGTTGGCAGCCCGGCCGCCCCAGGCCCGTGGCCGGCAGCTGGCCCTGGGGGACGGCAGGTGAGCCCCTCTGGTGTCGCACCCAGAGCCGAGAGCAGCTGCCGCCCCTGGCTGATTCCTTTTTAATAAACCGGTTTCACTCCCTGGCGCCTACTGAGGGGCTGGGAACCCGAGATGCCCCAAATCCACATCTTCTAAAGAAACAGCTGCTACTCGTGCTGACCCGGCCGAGCAGACGATTCCGAAGGTTTAGAGAAGGAGCCGGTCTCGGCCTGGCCCCTGCCCGCCCGCCTCCTGGACAGCAGGACCTGCCTGCACTGGCCTGGAGAGGCTGTCGGTTCCCTGTCTCGTCCTGCCCCCTGGTGTTGGGGACCAGGGACGCCAGCCTCTGCTGGGTGAGGAGACCCAGGGACGGGCTCCCCAGCTGCCACCCACATGCAGTCTTGCTCCACACCCCCCCGCCCCCAGGGGGACAGGGGCTGGTGCCCTGCAGGGACCCTGTGGTGGTGAAGTGAGGGGGCTCCTAGCTCCAGACCCTGATGCCGCCAGCTCCTGGCTCTGTGGCCTGGGGCACGTGACTTCCCTTGTGCCTCAGTTTACCCAGTTGTGAGGCAGTGTGAGCACCCGTCTCACGGTGGTTGTGATGGTCCAGTGAGATGACTCACAGAAGAGGCCTAGGTCGGAGCAGCGGGAGAGCCTGGGAGGGGAGGCGCCTCTGGACAGGGCCCCGGCCCTCAGGAGCGGCCCCGCTGCTTCCGAGTCGAAGGCACCCATCGCTGAGCATCCCGGCAGCGACGTTTAAAAAGCAATTGCTTGGGCCCGGCCAGTGTGGCTCAGCAGTTGAGCATCGACCTACGAGCCGGGAGGTCGCGGTTTGATTCCCGGTCAGGGCACAGGCCCGGGTTTCGGGCTCGACCCTCAGTGGGGGGCGTGCAGGAGGCAGCCGATCGATGTCTCTCTTTCATCATTGATGTTTCTCTCTCTCTCTCGTCCTCTCTTCTCTCTCTGAAATGTATTTTTTTTAATGGCTACTATTTTAAAAAAAAGGCAATTGCTTGAGAAAACCCCACTGAGCATCTCAAACTGAAAGTGTCACGTTTGGAAGGAGCGCTCTGCCGGACCCGGGGCGGCCGTGCCTGGAACCATCAGAAATTCACTGGCCTTGAGACACCTGAACACTCCTGGTGGCAGGTGAGCCACAGGAAGAGCCTCTTCGGGGGCACAGATCGTTAATTCCTCACCAGGCAGGCGAGGCCGGCCTCGGGTCTGGACAAGTGGCCGGGTCACTGGGTCCAGCCGGAGAGGAGCCTGGCTTGGGTGCCGCGGGCCCGGGAGGTAGGGGGCTGAGCTCCGCAGCCTGGGGACGGGTTCTCATGGGGTGAGGCAGCAGTTGTTTCGCAACCCACCGCGTAGGGCGGCCCCTGGGCCACCTCCGGCCGCGCTCCTGAGCAGCGCAAACATTAAAGCGCCGTTGTCTGCGTGCCAGTCCAGGGGAGACTACATCCCCGCAGCCACAGGATAAAAACAAACTTAGTAAATTAACAAGTTTTTCTAGGGAAGACCTGTCCCTAGCTGAGACGGAGGCAGGGTGCCTCCTTTTATCCTGCGAGAATGTTCTATAAAACCTTTGCCTCTGTAATCAGGTAACTACAAAAGGCATTAGCTAGTTCCAGGGGATTCAACAGAAATCAGGGAAAAGATAGAACTTTCCGACCAGCCATGAATGGGGGTTACGGGCCCCCCACCCCGCCCTGGGACGTTTAGTTCCCCCTGGGCTGAGGCCTGAAGAATGGACTCGCCAGGCACAATGGGGCTGGGGGAAGGGGGTGTCCCGGCAGAGGGAACCGCACGCAAGCTGGGAAGGAGCTCTGCGGCCACGAGGGGCTGAGAGGGCGCCGGCACAGAGGGACGGGCAACCTCGCAGGGCCGTCTCTGTCACTCAGCGAGCACCCAGAGCGCCTGGTATGTGCCAGGCACCGTGCTGGGCCTTCAGGGTCATATTGCAACCGCTGGTCTTGATCCTGGAGCTCGTGGGGAGGCCCTGAGGAGTGTTGGCAGGGAGCCAGGACGCCACTGATGTGAACACCCGGTGCCATGGGCACCGCTGGCAGGGGGAGGAAGCTGTGACACTGTGCAGTCTGGAGTCAGCAGGAATGGAGGGAGGCAGTGGGGGGGGGGTCAAAGATGGCCCTGGGGCCCTGGCCAGTGTGGCTCGGTGGTGGAGTGTCAACCTGCACACTGAAGGGTCACAGGTTCGAATCCCAGTCAAGGGAGCATATCTGGGTTGCAGGCTCGATCCCCAGCCCCGGGCAGGGTGAGTATGGGAAGCAACCAATTGATGTCTCTCTCTCACATCAATGTTTCTCTCTCTCTCTCCTCCCTTCCTTCCACTCTCTCTAAAAATCAACGGAAAAAAATATCCTCCCATGAGGATTAACCAAAACACAATGGCCTAGAGCACCTGCAACGACCACTCACATGCCTGGGGTGGGAAGGGGGGTGAGTGGAAGGCAGAGCAAACTTGTGAACAGAGACCAGGAGCCCCTTTGGGATGCTAAACTCAGACTTAAGCGGAGCCATGTTTCTGTGCATGGACACTGACCATGAACAACCGCAGAGCCCACAACTGTCCGCTGGCCACCAACGCCTGGTTCATGAGAGCTCTGAGCTCTGAAGGCCTCCGAAATAAAAGCACTGAGCCCAGCTGATTACTGGTGAGGAGAGCAGTGTCAGCGAGGACGGGACCGGGAGGTGTTTAACACGGTGCTGCTTCGTTTTCTTCGTAACAGCTGGTCCCTTTTCAAATGGAATCCCTGCCAGTCCACGCTGGTCCCCTCCCTTCCGTGTCTACAGTGGGAAATAACACAGGAGGAAACACCGGCCTGGGGAGGGAAAAGGGCGCCACCGCCAGGTGGGTGACTGTGTGTGCATGCCTGTGTATGTGCGTGTGTGCACACGTGTGCATGTGTGTGTATGCATGACAACCGCGTGTGCCCTCATTCACTGCGCAGAGTGACCCCACGTGCCATCTAACTGAAGGTTCTCTGCAGAGCAGAGGGGCTGGCGGATCCTCAAGCGCCCTCACTTTTTCTGCACTAAAAAGAGGCAGCTGTACTTCGAGGCTTTGAGGGAGTCATTCCTCGGGAGCAGAGAACATTAATGGTTTCAGGAGAGAGTATGAATCACGCCTCCGCTACGGAACAGTGCGCAGAGGGACCCTCGGGCGGTACACGGGGCCATGGCACGACACAGTTCACTTTCCAACCTTTACAGCTCTAACCGGAAAACCTAATGCTTCTGACAAAACTGCCTGATTTAAATGTTCTCACCTGTAAAAAAAAAAAAAAAGTCATTAAAAAAAAAAAAAGGAAGCCCCATGCTCATTTACTTGCGAAGCACGTCCTGGCTGGTTCCTGGAGCAGCAGCCAGCCGTCTGCGGTCACAGGGAGGGGAGGGGGGTGTCCTTCAGCTTGTAAGGGCTCTGCGTCCTTTCCTGAGGTTTGTCCCAGGGCCCAGGAGCTGGGGGCCTGGGGTGTTAAAGGGCCAGGCTGGAGAGCACCTCGGAAAAGTCCCAAACACTAAGAAGCGGCCTGGCCCCTGGGCTGACAACAGCCAGTGCTCTGCCCAGGGCTGTGGAAAGGGGGACCCCTGTGACCTGTTCTCAGGGAGGGAGAGGAGGGGTGAGGTGGTGTGGGGTGAAGGGGTTAGGCCCCCTCCTGTAAAAATAAAAATTATAAGTGGAGCCTCCCTAAAAACGGGAAACCTGCCTCGCACACCTTATGCCTCCAACCTCTGCGGTGTTAAAAACTGGGCAAACCCACCCGCAGGCTGGGCCTGAGCTCAGGGGCAAATCCACCAGCGGGCTAGGCCTGAGCTCAGGGCAAATGCACCAGCGGGCTGAGCCTGAGCTCAGGGGCAAATCCACCAGCAGGCTAGGCCTGAGCTCAGGGCAAATGCACCAGCGGGCTGGGTGTGAGCTCAGGGCAAATGCACCGGCGGGCTGGGTCTGAGCTCAGGGGCAAATGCACCGGCGGGCTGGGCCTGAGCTCAGGGGCATATCCACCGGCGGGCTGGGCCTGAGCTCAGGGGCAAATGCACCGGCGGGCTGGGCCTGAGCTCAGGGGCACAGAGCCGTCTGCAGAGGGGCCGGGAAAGCAGGTACCAGGACCCCCGTTAGAACGGGGGTAGCGCCGGCTCGTCGGCGCCTGCAGAGCGGCCTCCGTCCTGCAGGGGGCCCTGTCCCCGGCCTGTCTCATAAACGCCCCGGCCGCGGTCGCTCCTCGGAGCGCGGTCCGCTCGCTGGTCCCCGCCCCTGCGCCCGGCCTTTCAGTTTCGGGCCAACAGCAGGAGGGACGCTGGCCAGCGACACGGGGTGGCAGCTGCAGCCGTTTCCCGCCCCCAGAGGCACAGGCAGGGGCCTGGGCTGGGCTCACTCCGCAGCCACGCCGGGGTCCTGCGCCAGGCCCCGGCGACACCCCGCCGCCCCG